TACAAATGAATAAAACTTCTTAACATATTAAAACAAAATTTATATATATGCATTTTTGTTGGTTTTCTATAAGAACTCATTGTGACGGATTTGCTATGGTTCTATCGCAACTCCCTCGCAAATCCCTTGCAAACTGAATTTCTTTTGAAATTTTGATTGAAATATTTCTATTTTTTTAAAAAAATTGTTCACGAAATTTTATTAGACAAACCATATTGCGACAGAGCCATCGCAAATCCGTCGCAATATCTGTTATTATATCGATTCTTCTTCTTTTCTTCTCTTCCACTCTCGATCTATATCTCTATTTTTCTTCTCTTTGCCACTCTATCTCCCTCTCTTGTACTTCTCTTCAGCACTAGATTTTCCTTTCATCTCTCTCTCTCTCTCTCTCTCTCTCTCTCTCTCTCTCTCTCTCTCTCTCTCTCTCTCTCTCTCTCTCTCTCTCTCCCTCTCTCTTGTTGGCTGTTTGCCACTACCGCTGTGTGCTGGAGCTGACGTTCACCACCACCACCACCGTTTTCCACACCTGCTGGTCCCTTCCTCTCCAACATGGATGGTTAGCTTCCTCTCTTTTTTAGATGTTAGTTGTTAGATTAATTAGTTAAATTTGATTTATTTTAGGACTTGTAATGTGCCCACATTTAGGATTCATATTTTGTTAGATTTATGATTTGTTGAATGTAATTTTTTGAATGTGTTAGAGTTATGATTTGTTGAAATTAAACTGTTGACTTTTGTAAGATTTAAAAATTGTTAGTATTTGTGTTTTGTAAGATTTTGGATTTGAGTTTTGTTAGATTGGTGAATTGTTAGATTTAGGTTAGGAATATGCTTGATATATGTTTGAAATTTATTAGATTTAGTTTTGGAATTTGATAAATTTAGGTTTTAGATTTTTTAGATTTAGAAATTATTAGATTTATAATTGACTTTTTGTTAGATTTTCAAATTATTAAAATTTTATAATTGAAAAGATATATTTAGATTTGTGTGTTTTTGTTAGATTTAAAAGTTATTTTTGGTATATTTTTTGTTAATTTTTTATGTGAAATTTGATTTTGTGTTTTTGTTATAAAATATTTAATAATTTGCTATAGATTTGCGATGAACATTATAATGTTAGTCGCAAGTTTACCGCAATATTTGTGATGGTTTTTGCGATGCACACTTTCACGATAACTTTATCTTCCTCTAAAATTCATCTCAAATCTGCGATGGACTACACTTATGACGAAATTACAACACTTTTTTCTCACACAAAATTTCTATGTATTTGTGATAAATTTACTTTGCGACAAATATCGAATTGCGACTAACAGATTAGCACCATCGCCGCCTACTGAAGTCATCAAGAAAGATGTTGGGTTTAAATGAGGACAAGTTCAAGAGGAAGCCTTTCAATGCCAAAAGAGAAGCCTACACACGCTCCGGTTTTTGCTTTACCTGATTTTATTAAAATATTTGAGTTTGAGTGTTACGCTTAGGCATTGGAGCAGTGCTAATGCAAAACAAGAAGCCCATTGCTTAGTTTAGTGAGAAGCTTGGAAGACCCACATTGAACTACCTTACATACGACAAGGATATATACGCTTTGGTACGAGCCTTGCAAACATGGCAGTATTTCTTATGGCCCAAGGAGTTTGTGATCCATACCGATCATGAATCTACTATATGTCATCCGCAAACTGATTTTGAAACCTAGGTAGTGAATAAGACTTTGTCCGCTCTCTTGTGTGCATTGATTAAAAAGAACTTAAAGAAGAATGTTTACCCCATGTAGAATCTTCTTATAACCATTCTATGTATCCTCATTTTCAAATTGTTTGTGGTTTTAACCCTATTTCGCTTTTGGATCTAGTGCACATACCTTTGAATGAAAGAGCGAGCCTTGATGGGAAAAAGATGGCTGAACTTGTTAAGTAGATCCATGAGAATGCAAGGAAGAACATAGAGGAGAAAAATGAACAATATGTTTAGAAAGCCAACAAAGGGAGGCGAGATATGAAGTATAACATGGAAAATCAGTTTGGGTTCACTTGAGAAAATAACAGTTTCCAAATGAGAGAAAATCCAAGATGATATCACAGATTGATGGTCCATTCAAGATATCTAAGAAGATCAATAACAATGCATACCAAGTAGACCTACAAGGTAAGTATAAAATTAGTCATTTTTTTAGTGTTTCTGATCTCGTTCCCCTTCTTGTAGATGATTTTTGATTCGAGGTCAAATCACTTTCAAGAGGGATAGGATAATGCAATCCTATAAGGCATTAGGGACCTGGATGAGGACAAAGAGCATGAAACCGAGGAGAAGCTGGATACAAAGGAAGAGCTTGTAGCCAAGGAGGTTCTAAGTATACCAAGTGTTCCTATGACCCGGTCCAAAGCTAAGGCATTCGAGTAACTTATAGGAATGCTACTTAACCGTATGAAGTATCATTCAGATGGGAAAGAAGCTAATCAAGCCACTTTGATTTTGATTTAAGCTCGAGTTCAACAAATGGACATGTGAATCACTTGTGCTCTTTTTCTCCTCCTTGGTTTTGTCCTAATAAAAACCTCTTTTCAAAGAAAGATCTAAACGGTGAATCAAAAGTTCTTCCATAGCTTTTATGTGACCATTCAATTCCCCTGGTAAATCAGAAATGATTCCGCCCCTTCCGTGTGACCCTTCAATTCAATCATTTATCCTTTGATAATTTGTGTTCAACGGATGCAAAACGATCCCTATTTAATTTCAAAGTGCTATCTAACGAGAATCGCATCAGATATGGTCTTTGCTTCTCTTATTTCCATGATCATAACTGCAAAACGCTTGGGATTATATGCAGTGTTTCGGGCCTGCAAAGCTATGGCTTTATTATCTAGCTTTCGTACCACAATGTTTTGAAGACTAAAAACGATCTTGAAGGATGCTTGATAAAATCCATTGGATTACTCCATAATCCATTCCAATTATTGTTCATTCATTCTTTTTTGCTATCAAATCTAGGGTTTAGTAGCCCAAAATGATAGGTTTCATTATCTCACTTCTCTTATCAGAAAGTTTTTATAATTATATATGAGACCGACGGACTTGCATTTTAGAACTAATGATAAAATCATACTAAAACCGATGTGTAATTTTTGTTTCAAAACTGTAAAGCTAAGGCTTTATTATCTAGCTTGCATTCCAAGTTACCATAATGTTTTGAAGACTGGGAACGATCCTGAAGGATGCTTGATAAGGTCCACAAGATTACTCCATAATCCATTTCAATTATTTATTAGAGACTTATGTAAACAACTTATAGTATATTTCCATATAATCAATTATGTTGATATTCCTTTACGATATATTCATATTTAGGATATGCCATAAATTATGTACATGTATATAAACCCTTTCGTATTGAATAAGACAGCACAACATTCTCTTCTCTCTTATGGTATCAGATAAAAGATCCTAAATACAATTTTTTTCAGATAGAAGAATAACACATCGACTAAGAAAAGTAGATGGCGGCAAATACAGGGCTTCCTGCAAAAGCGGATCTAGGGGTGTACCATTGGCATAAAAGAATATTTTGTCACCGTTTTATCTCTATAGATCAGATGGACCGATAAACTTATTTACCACTGTTTATTGAAAGTAGAGAACTACGAAAACTAGGCTAAGCATCTGCGGAATGCTTTGCGAACAAAGAGGAAATTGGGATTCATTGATGTCACCTTAAAGCAACGACAGTCGAATGATGAGATCGAACAGTGGGAAGTTGTTAACTCCATGTTGATTGCATGAATGATGAACACGATTGAGCCTACTCTTAGGGTTTCAATATCGATGGTGGATGAAGCACAAGTTTTGTGGGATGGTTTGAAGATGCAATTCTTAGCTGGGAACATGCCACATATTAGCGATTTTAGGGCGAAAAAAGCTAACTACCGGTAGAATGATGATACTGTTACCACATATTATGGGAAGCTAAAGAAGATGTGAGATAAATTGGCAATTTACAAACCAATTCGAACATTTACGTGTGGGGAACTTAAAGCTCAACTGGAAGAAGATCGTGAAGAGGAGAGGACAAATACATCCCTCACAGGCTTGAATGCAGAAAGATTTGGAATTGTGCGCTCTACGATACAAAGAATAGAACCACTTATGAAGTTATCTTAGGTGTATAACCGCATTGTGCGTGAAGAGAGACAACACATTATGACGCAAAATAGTGATGCCCCCGCGAATTTATTGCGCTTTACGGCGAATGCTAAAAATAAAGGGAACTCCTCTCACTATCAACAATGTGAGAAGGATGTGACATGCACCCATTGTTGCAAGTACGGGTATGCACATGTCGATTGCTTTCAACTGAATGCCTTCTCTTAATGGTGGGGAGAGAGAGAACGTGATTTCAGTGGCAGAGGTAGAGGAGGAGGAATTTGTGGAAGATATGGTCGTCGTGGTGGTGGTGCTGGACAATCTGGTAGGGGCAGAGGATCATCTGGATGATGGTACTCTGCACATGCACAACAATAAAGAGCTGTCCAAGAAAACATGACGAGGATGGATGGGGATTATAATCGCACATCTCTTCCACAACTTAGTGACGATCAATGGACATCTCTTTTGAGTTTCTTGTCTTCCAAGAAACAAGAGAGTAATGAGAAACTGAACGGTAAGACAGATTGTGGAGAATTTATTATTGATACTGGTGCTTCTTATCATATGACATTCCAAATTTTAATAGAATTCAAAAATTTGGTTAAAAAATTAGTATTTGAGAGATGGAGTTTGAAGAACTTTTAAAATTTTGAGATTCTATCATTATTGATTTATAGATTTTTAAAATCTTAATAGAATCTATTTATTAGTTTAACGATTTAAAAAAATTCATCCAAAATCCTTTATAAGTCAAAAAATTTGGTTTTTTTAAAGATTATATAATTTTATTAAAATTTTATATTATTGAAATATGGATTTTAAACAATTAACTCATAAAATAAAACTTAACAAAATTTTTAAAATACTATCTATATGGCTTAGATTTTTAAAGTTAATATAATAAAAACAATTTGATAAATTTTCTAATACAAACTATTTCAAAATTTAGCAAATCTTTTTTCTAAAATTTCACAAATCTGTAAACTTTTAAAATCAATCGAATTTTTTATAATTTCATGTTGGCTGTTTCCCACTCACTTTCTGATATCCACCTAATACCCTTCACTAAATTCCCTAAATTTGTATTAAGTTGTATTTAATCAAATTTCTATGATCATCTATCTATATTATTTTATGTATTTATTTACAAACTTTCGTGTTAATTTTAAGTTTATTAGTTGCAAGAAATGGAAATTTAAATTTATCAGTTGCAAAAATTGATGAAAAACCTATTATATGTTGACAAAAAAACTATTATATAAAATAGGACTACACACATCCACTACATATGTTTTGAACTACAAAAATAAATAAATTAATAAGATATGAGTAGTGTATACAATATTTAAATAAGCTTTAGAATATGACATAATTTTATAAAGCAAAGCTGTCGATGTAAAATCAGTTGGATGGAGAAGTTAAGACAGAAAGCTAGAACACCCGAGCTGAATATGATGATGAGAGCCGACCATGGAGACGGGTGTGCTTCGAACCAATCCAAGATTCCGTTGCCTTCAAGTAAAATTGCTGGTAAACCGAGAATCATGGTCGCAAATGGCGCCATATAGTACATTGTGTTTATGCTAAACAGAGAGAGAGACATGGACAATGAGGAGGAAACAAACACTCAGTTCCATGAATTAGAGACAAAAGCAGCAAAAGTTCAAATCTTTACATATATATACATAGAAGATTATATCTGAGTCTGCAATTGAAAGTTTCATACTTTTAACAAAACCACCATATGAATGTTAAGATGGAAACTTCAGGGAACAGAAGACTGACATGTCGAATTTGTAACCGTGAAGAAGAGATTCCGCAAGAATGGTCTTTGTAGAGGTAGCTAAACAACCAAACAAAGCAGCACAAAAACCAAACACATTAAAGCTAAGTTCTGTAATAGAAGTCAGAAGGATCCCACCGACAATTGGAACCAACGACGCCCAAATACGCCAGTCGAAATATTTCCTCCATACCATCCACTGTAACACAACTGCACTCCAAAAAATACATTTTACACTATGAAACCAATCAGAGTAACAACAAATAAAAAACAAAATCATTATTTTTGAAAAAATCCTCAAACCTGTTGTTGCTGGAGTGAAGGATTTGATTGCCTGCATAAAAGAGACAGGGATGTATCTAAGAATGATGTTTCCCAAGACAATGTTGATACAGAATACGACCGACATTGGGAAAATCCTCTTCCATCGATCTTCTGGATCAATAACGATCAATGGTTTTATCTTCAGGACTCTGATCACAATGTAAGCTCCAATCGATGTACATATGAAATGAACGCACGAAACTGACAACGGAAACTTGAAATCCAGTTTCTGCAAGAAACCAAATTTTCAAACACAGATCATGAGATCAAAAGAAGGAAGTAAACGAAAAAACGAAAAACCACTAATTTGTAAAGAATGATGAAAGTAAGAGATTGTGATTACCTGGAAGATCCATTTGTTCATGATGATAACGGTAACGTTAAAACCCCACCATTGAAGAATCGATAGCAGAGATCTGAACATACTCCATTGATGCCATTGACTTCCCTCCTCCATTATCTCTTTCTCCGTCGTAAATTCCCAGAATATATTGACAAGTGAATCAGAGAGAGAGGGAGAGAGAAGAGAGAAAACTTAGGAATCTGGGCAGGAGAAGCTGAATAGGTAAATGAGGAGGGAAGAGAGTAACGGAAGCAGTAAGTTCTGCTTCTCATGCGATTTTGTTTCGGGTTCTCCTCTTTTTTTTTGTACTCCATCAATCTTAAAACGTCTTTCTCTCTCGTTGCCATGAATATATTGTTTTGCTCTTTCGTAGGTTTCCTTGCTCTTACCTAGGTTTCCACAACCTCCACTCCACTATAGTGCATTTCAGTTGGATGAGAAGCTCATAACCTCTGGTAAAATCGTGATGGATAGGGTCCTTGAAATTTGCTATCGATATGCAATGATTGAACCCCTATAAAGTGTTTTAGAAGATTAGAAAGACATAGAATATTCACCATTGATATTACTCAACTTAGAAGTGCGGTGAATGATTCAAACAGACCAAGTCTGAACTACCTTCTTTATCCAAAAAAAAGTCTTGAACAACTCGGACAGACATCTCAGGAATCCGCCTCGTTAACTTCCCCGCTAAAAGAATCTGTAGAAGAATATAAGAAGCGATTTAATTGACACAGATAATAGTAGGGATTCATCGGTTTGATGAGAGATAAGGAAAATGATTCACAGATTCTTCTGTGAAACGATTTGGTTCACAGATTCAGGTCGGAGACTTTAAATTCCAAAATCTTTCACTGCCATCAGAAGTCAGTCATATTTGTCTCAATCTCACAACTCGAATCAAAAGCAACATCCTATTGACATTTACGAACAAAAAAAGAACAGAATATGGGAAAGGAGCGACCTGACGGAGACTTACGCTTGTTCTAACAACCCGGAAAATGGTCGCTCTCAAGAATATCTTCTTCCAAGCATCGATCCATCTCACCTGATCTGGATCTTTCGGTATCCAACAAAATTCGACACATAATTCTCACCACACAAGTTCCAAAATTCAACAAAGCTATATATATATATATATATATATATATATATATATCCAGCGTTAACCCCTCGACTCCCACAGAGGAAAAGGAAAGGGAAAAAAATAGAATGTTTAGGATTAGATGAAAACTGATAAGCTTGAGAATTGATTTCACACAGAGCCATAGAGGAAAATTCAGAGAGAAAGCGGAGAATAAGAGAGAAAAAATTAGACGCCTATTTTGTTGGATTTTTCTTATGTCTCTTTATTTTCTGAAACGAAAGTTATGTTTTTAGGGAATTAAAATAGTGTAAAGAAAAGAGACTGATCATAAATTCATACCAAAAATAGTCAAAGCTTGTGTCATGAAAAGGAAAGCTGATGTGTCAAACTCTTGTGAGACACAAGTGAGTTCTTATATAATAGATTCGTTTTGCATAATTGCATTACAGTGGAAGTGGAATCTCTAAATTCATCCATTTTTGTTTTATTTTCAATTTCTTTTATCTCACCAAAGAGACCGTACACAAAGGATATAAAGATGGTAACTTTGGAAAATGTTGGTTCCTTAGCATCCATACTTATCTTACAAGGGTGATGGAAGTTAAGTAAAATTACTGTCAATTCTATATACATCTTCTTGTATTCGCCGTAACAAAACAGAGAATTCATTAGTACATTTAATAGCTGACAAACTACAACAACCTTTAATAACACTTTGATTACTCTTTGGTAAGTCTACACAATTTAAAAAATGTCAAGGCAGTTATCAGACAAAGCTTCCTTGCCTTTAACTCTTCACTCTTCAGGGGATATAATACATTGGATTTGCAAGTTTGAAAGATCGTTGAGACATGGAAGAACCCAACAAATCACTCCACTGATCACCTGAATTGCCTCTAATCCTATATCCCTCTTTCACCATCTCATCCCTCTTCTCAGATTTGTATATTGTCGCCATTTTGTGCTGTTCATCCGGAGATCTACAAAGAAAGAAAGGTCTAAGTCTATACACAATAAACAACAGTACAAACTGATGATGATGTCTTTTCATACAATCAACATACATCAAAACTCAGTATCATTGCTTCACTAGCATCAAACATTTGCATAACAAAAGCATGACCACTTAAAAACCAAAAGAGCTACATTTTGTTTCCATGACAATTAGGTCCAAGTCTAGGCACAATAAACAGTACAAACTGATGATCATGATATGTCTTCTCAAACTATGTATGATTGATTGATTCCTCACAATCAAACATTTGCATAACAAAAGCATGACCACTTAAAAACCAAAAGAGCTACATTTCGTATCAGTGACTTAAGTATATACCTGAGAATAAGCTTGTCCCAATTCTGGAAACCAGCATTGATGAGGTTTTCAACAGTGACAAGCCTGTGGCTCTCTTTCCTCCCTGTAAGCAAGAAAACTTTGTACCCTAAATCAATTACTCTTTGGTAAAGCTTCAAGCTTGGTTCTATTGCTGGTGCCACTCCTCTCTCTACCCACCTATCGAACTCCGAGTGATCAAATAACTCAAGCCTGCAAAGATCCCCAAATCCAAATTCACCATCATCATCAATTGTATCACATATGTTATAGTGGTGAATTGTTCTGAAGATTTGAGAAGTCAAACGAAGTTTTAGATAAAATTGTAAAGGGAGAGATTGAGAAAACGTGTACCCAAAGCCATGGTCAATGTAATACGGAAGATTCGATAAGAGAGTCTCGTCGATATCGAAAATCCAGATATCTTTGCCGTCGCCGGAGAATTCGACGCTGTTCGCGAAGATCGAAGCCTCTTCAGAGACTCTCTCCAGATCGGTGGAGTAACCTCTGCCCAACACGTAATCCTTCACGTAATCGGTGCACTCCGCCGGAATCGTTTTCCACGGGGCGAGATTGTTCGTCTCCGCCGCGAATCTCCAGCTCGTGCAATACAAATTGACCTCGTCGTCATCGGCTTTCTTGCGTCGGATCTCGATTTCCGACGGGTACTCGAGAATCGACGGCTTCGGCAACAGGTACGAGTCGGGAGTCTCGTCGGAGAACGCCGACGAAAACATGGAAATTACAAGGAGAATCACGTAAATCCTCATCGGAGAATCACCGGAACTCGAATCAAGCAGCAAAAATATACGAAATTTCGGAATCAAATGAAAATTTTCGAATTGGAGAAATCGGAATCAAATGAGGGTTTATTGAAGAGGGAATATGCAGCAAACGGCGAAAAGGAATCGATATAAAATTCGAAATCCAAAAGAAATGGGGAATATAAAGAATGGTTTCGGATTGGATTAATGGAATTTCGTACGAAAGAAGAAACCTATTGAATTATAATTTAACAATGGAGAAGAAATGAAAATAATGGGAATTGTAAAGACTGCTTCTTTTAAAGGCAGTGGAAAGAAATTGGCAAAGACGACGAAAGGAGTGGCCGGTGTGACGTGTAGGAAAAAGCCAATACTAAAAGAATCTGTTCGTTTCGGGTTCGGATCTAAGATATCCATTTATTTACTTTGGGGTCCACATCTGGTCCTTTGTGATACGTAGTAGTTTCGGTTTTTCTTCTCCTATTGGCCTATTTAGTTAATGTGTGATTACAACCATATGGATAATTTTATTCGACAACGAAAGTTTTTTTTTTATTCTTTTGGTTTTCGGACAACGAAAGTTTATTAGTATGATACTTATAATTGGTTTTCGAGATCGATGTTGGTCTAGTGGTGAATGTATCGTGTTGTTCTAGTTTAAGTTATTCCTAAAATTCTATGTATGTAAAATGGTATTGTGGCCGTATGTATTAAAAAAATTCATACAAGTAACAAATTGTTAAGTTCAAAAAAAAAAAAAAAACTGTTCACAACTGTGTTAGAATTTGGATAATGATCCAAACAATAATAACAATTTTGTATTCCAAAGACGACGGATTCTTGCACGCACGCTAAGGTACGCGTCAATACAGTGTTAACAGAAATTGGCTGTGCAATAACTCTTAAATTATTTAACAGATAACATGTTCCTAATTAAGGCTAATTAAATAAATTTGGTCAAAAAAAATTTAAGGCTAATTAATTCTTTTAAATCTGTGTTATGATAAAAGTTTTAAGTTTGTCTACCCCACTTTGGAGAGTTATTTACGCTTATAGTCATTTTTTGAATTTTAAGTTACAAAAGAGGTTTTTTTTAAAACCAACACGCTTTTGCTATTGAATTGATAATTATGTCTTTCTGTCCAAGTGATGAAAATTGATTCGCGTCCACGCGTTGGTGTTCATCCATTGTCACTATCACTTAGTGTCTATCAAATCGTATTGTAACTATTATTTAATAACAATTTGTATTCATCGAGCTATATCCATCACGTCCACGCGTTGGTGTCCATTCATCGTTACTATCACTTAGTGTTTATCAAATCGTATTGTAATTATCACTTAGTAACAATTTATATCCATCGAGCGGTGTCCATCAGACCGTGTCCATCAAATTGTGTCCGACGAAAAAAGTATTTTCGAACATTCAAGTAAAATAAATAAGAAGAAAGATCAGAAAGTGTCTTAGTTTCAAAAAAAAGTATTTTTTGTAATTAATAACTCAAAAGTACCTCTAAAAATAAATAATTCTATTTTGGGCCAAAACCCAAAAGTCAATATGTCCACTGTTTACGTATAAAATATTCATGTCTTGGTCGGTTTAAATTTATTTTCTTTTGATATGTTTACTTCTCGGACAAGAAAATATATTTAAGACTTATTCGATCATTTTTTTTTCTTATTGATTATTACATATTTTAAAGTGTATAAGATGAAAAGTATAATGGTGAAAACTCAATTGAACATGAATATAGTTCGATAATATAATCATAAAGAGAAAAACAGAAACTAATTTTAGTAAGTTAATATCTTTTTCGTTATAATATGAAAAAAGTTTATATGGATGGTAAAATTATTTTTTAAAGATAATTTGATGTTGTTTTTAATAATTATTAAGATGAATGATATACTGTTTTCACGTTTTGATTTCACTTTTCTTTTTCTTGTCAACAGTATGAATCATGCTAGTTTTGAATTAGTGTTGACATTGTGACAACACAAATATTTTAAATGAAATTTTATTAATAAATGTTCTAAGTGGTGTATAAAGACAAAATCACTAGACTACATATCTTAATTAATTGTCTCTTTATACCATTTACAACGCTAGATTTTGATCCGCGTATTGTGCAGACTTATTTATTAATTGAAATTTAAATTTAATATATTTATATTACTATTATATATATATTTATTCTATATTATAATGTGTTATATTTGTTTTTTTAGTGTTTTTATCCTCATATATATATGGTATAATTTCTTTTTAATGTAGATTGTGATGTATTAATTGTTAAACAATTATCTCATATTATACATTGTAATAGATATTATATGTGTTCAACTATTTATTTTTATTCAATTGGTTTATGATCTTTTATCTATAGCTTATTTTTATAGATCAACAAACTGAAATCACCATCGACTCTTCTTAACTCTAAACTAAATATTTTCTTAATTTGTTTAATCAATTTTCAAAATATTAACTCATTTTTAAGCACAGATAGTCCTTTTTCTCCCTTTCCTATTGCTCCCAGTCCTACTATTCTGATTACAATCTACTATTGTTTTCTCTTATTTTATGCAAGCTTCCGTCTCATTCAATTTTGTAATTAATTGTAACTCTAAATTGGAAAAATTGTAGTTAGAGTTGGTGAGACAGAGCAAGAGATCTGTTCATATATTTGATAGATTATTATATCAAAATATTGTGTTCACTTGATAAATATTGATTTTAATTGATTTGAGGCATTTCTCTTCTTTCGTAAAGCAATTCTGATGTGTTCATCCATCTGACGATGATGAACTATCTGACTATATTTATGAATGTGTGTGGAGATAGTTATGTCTATTTTCATGTCATGTGGAGGTAAACAATATGACTCTGTTAAAAAATATAATCAATCATCTTGTTTTAGTTTATTTTTACACTTTACATTAAAACAAATATATTTCCGACTAATGAGTAAAATCATTGAAAATCAACATTAAAAAAGGATTGATAATTATTTGCTGCTTTTTTGTCTTCTTCGTATATATTAAGTTTATTTCTATACAATATAATTTAAACACTTTAGTTTTTTTTATTCATGAAAAACTTTCATTCATTTTATACAGTAAAATAGCTATGAATGCTTTTACTTTAGTTTTATGCATTAATATTTCTGGGTTTTTTTAAGTTTGATAACTATTCTCCACAAGTTCTTCCTTCATCATTCATAATTGTTCATCTTCCAACTCTTTTTCATATTCTTTTTGTTTATATTCGAAATAATATTTTGAAATTTTTTATTTCCTAGAAAATTTATATTTTTTCATGGTTTGTAAAATAAAAGTATTTGTTTTATATGGATGATTTTATTTCACTTTTGTACATAAATCTTTCTAACATTTTTTTAAGTTTAATAACTATTACTTGTTCTACTGGCATCGTTTTTATTTATTTTCCTTGCAACATTTTTTCATAAATAAAAAATTTGTAATTTTTATGGTTTGTAAAATAAGTATTTATTTTTAATTTTAAATTAATATCATACAGAAACCCAAAAATGACCCAAAATCTATAAAAGCTTATAAAGAAAAGGACAAAATATTTAAAAGCCCATTTTGAAAATAAAAAATTGCTGAGGTGGACACTTAGATGGAGAAATATTTGGCTAATTATATATACTAGGTCTTTATCCGCGCTATGCTGCGAGATATTTTTCTAAATTTTGTATATATTTTTGATATAATAAAATTATTTTTATAATGTAAATGAATATTATATTTATTTTTTATTAGTTTAAGTTATGTATTTATATATTTTAAATCTGAATAAACATTATATATTTTTTATTTTTCAAAATTATAATTTGCTATGAAATTTAGTTAGCTAACTAATTATAAATTTATATATAGGAATAAAATATATAAGAATAAAGCAATACATTTTTAGTACATTCATGCTAATGGCAAATGTAATCTATTTTCTCCAATAAATTGCCACATGATCCTTCTTTGTAATTATATAAAACAAAATATCATTTAAAAAAAGATTTATTAATTAATATGATTATTTTGAATTATAAAATTTATTTATTTATCAAATATTTTATTATAAACATATGTTTCTAAAACTACCAAACTCTAATCAATAACATTCATATAAAAACCATCGCTATTGCTTTAGAACTAAATAGAAAATTATGTTTGAACTCTTAAAATATCGTTTTAGTTAGAGTTAAATAATTAAATTTTGGTTACTGTAAACATACTTTAACTTGGAAATTTAGCACAGAAAAATTTCTTCTTCTTACAAAAATCGAGAAATTGCATTTCCCGTCAAAACAAAAAAAAAATTATTTTCCCATTAAATTGAGAAATCGGCTATACCCTCCAAAATCCAAAAAAATCATTTTCTCGTCAAACCTAAAACCTAAAATTTTATTTTCCCTCGAGAACCTGTGTTTTTCCACCAAAGCCTAGAAATTACGTTTTTTCACAAAAACCAAAAAATTTCATCTTCGTGCAAAAACAAAAAAAAAATTGTATTTTCCCGCCAAAATCGAAAAATATATTTTTCTTGCGAAACTGAGAAATCATCTATTTCTGCAAAAAAAAAAAAAAAAAAAAAAAAAAAAAAAAATCTCGTCAAGCTCATAATCATGCTTTCCTACAAAACAAATAAACTACAATTTCCCGCGAAAACCAAAAATTGCATTATCTCCCGTGAAATTGTGTTTTCCCGCGAAAACTAAAAAATTGTTATGTTTTTATCGGTTCAAATTTTTGCTGATTTATGAGCTTCTTAGAACATAAGGCTTTTGCATTGTTGTCATGGAAGCATAGTTGATGTTGAGCCTATACTTTTTCAATCATATACGTCTATGTCAAACAAACAGATAGCTAAAAAAATTTTATTATGTTTTTGTTGTTATTTATTATTTGAATTTGGTTTTGGCAAAAAAAAAGAAAAAAATTATTTAATTTTT